AAGTGGAGGACTACTTGTACCCTAGAGGAAAAATGGGACTAAAATTGAACATAAAGAAGACCAAGAAGACTCTAAATCAGGTAGAGTAACCAGCCTTGGAAGATATTGCAGTGCTAGATAGCCTCTGCTTTTTGGATCAACCACCAACAGTTAAGGAAATCAGCAGTCAAGACATGCCACAGAATAAGGCAGAGCAACCATGAAGGTCTTGGAAAATATGTTCTTGTACCATGATCTCTCTATTATCTAGAAAGATCAGAATTATATAAGCCAAGTATTCTCTGTGACAGAATATGTATCATTTTAAGATGACTTTATTGTGAGCTACAGATGCATTAAAAGTGACTTCATGAGGTTTTCTAAGCATGGTTAGAGAATATCTTAATTCTGTACTTAACAGGATATGGGAATAAGTGACTAGTCTAACTCTCTAGGCCACAGGTGTCAAACTCGCTGCATCATGTTGCTGTCATGTGATATTTCGTGACGGTTTTCCCATTCACGGAGCTGGGGTGGGCGGGGCCTGTGTGTGATGCATCTGGCCTGCGGCTGCCAGTTCAATACCCTATTCTAGGCAGTATATTATATGATTATCTTTGATCTTTTAAATACTTTTTTCAATGCATAAATGATAAGCCAATGTGAAACTCTGTTTGAGAGATGATTATTACAGGGGGGATTTGTTCATTTCTTTTGAGCAATCAAAAGATGTGCACCGCTGTATTTTTGCATAAAACATTGTTTTATAATGATATTTAGGATGTACATAGATAATTTCTGTAACCTCATTATTATTGACAATGGAACATTTGGGCATATGATTCTTTGAGAAGCAAGAAAAATTGAGGGAGTTGTGACAAAATAAACAATATTTATGAGTATCTGTGTGTACTTCTTTCTATTTAAACAGTTTTCATCCTTTTCAGATTGGGATGCACTTCTAAAATTTACTGCATAAATATATTTGCTAATTTCTCTTGAGAGCTATAAAGGTATTAGAAAAAAGTACATTGTTGAAAATATTGTTGAATAAGGTATACATATATATAAGGTATGTATAATTATATACATATAATAAGGTATACTCAATTTACAACTATTCATTTACCAAATATTTGAAGTTATGACAATACTGAAAAAATATTATGACTGGTGGTCTTATTTAGGACCATCACAGTGATCAAATCTGGGTGCTTGATAACTGGCATATATTTATGTATATTTCGGTGTCCCAGGATCATATGCTCATTTTCCACCTTCAAATCAAGGACCTCTTATACTTTCCTCTGCTGAATCTGTTGCAATTATGGGCAATTTATAATATATTTATATTTAAAGAAATGCACATGGGAAAGTATGAATTTTAAATGTGATTAGGTAGAAAAGGACTCTGACTAACTGAAGCATTGTATCAGTTGTTGACATCCTGTACTTTATCCTACACCTCTAAGAAATTATTATCAACTTCAAATCTGTGGTATGATTTCAGTTTTTGTTCTGTTCTCTTTAGAAGATGATACTCATTCAGAAACTAAGCTTCAACTGGAACTGGATAAACCAATTTCCCTTCCTACTCTTGTTTCCAAACGGATTGTGCTTGGTGATACAGTCTGCAACTTATCAGGAACGGCTGATCACACAAGCAGTTTAGCAGAGCACAAAGGAGAAAAAATAGACTTATTTAGCAAAGCTCATGAAGTTGGTAGTGATGGCAGCAGTGACCTCCGGCAACGCAATAGAGGGGAACTGTTGGACGTTCCACAGCGAGCACCACGCCATGGATTAGATCAGTATTTATCAAGGTTTGATGAAGCGATGAAGCTTAGAAACCAGCTGATGAATGAGAAGCCAAGTCAAGAAAATGGAAGCATTGTGGAGGAATTTGATTCCTTTCACATTTTTAGATTGGTGGGCTGTGTACTCCTTGCTATTGGCGTTAGAGCTTTTGTATGCAAATATTTGGTAAGTTTAAAAAAAAATCTTACTATTTTCATTTTTCTCCCTTTTCTTTGACTTGGTTACCTTGCTGACAGGCTGTAAAGTAGTATATGTATGGAATAATTATGCTGAACAACTATTTTCTCATGGCTAAATAGATTCCGGTTCAAATCCATAAAACCCATCTATTGTTTTAGCAGTAATTGTTAAGAATTGTGTGAAAGTCTGTACTTCAGAGCATCTTTACAGTAAGTAACTTAATGACCAGAGTTGGGACTGGCCATTACATAGCTAAGTGATGCAGCAATTAAGCAGAACATCAGGTGATTATGCCAGACTTATGATGTCAGTTCTATGGTTATTAAGCAAATCACTTGTGGTCATTAAGCATGACATCATGTTTCTCCATTGTCTTTACTTGACAGAATCCAGCTGTGAAGCTGACCATTGGCAATTACACATCCATGGGATGCTTTGACTTTTATAAATGTGCGCCACTTGTGAAGCGCCTGATGGTGATGTAATTGTACTAGAAACAATGTCAGGGAATTGTAACTTATTACAGGTAGTCCTTGACTTCCAACAGTTCATTTAGTGACCATTTGAAGTTACAATGGCACTGAAAAAAGTGACATGTCCATTATTCACACACTGCAGCATCCCCATGGTCATGTGATTTATATTTGGATGCTTGACAACTGGTTCATATTTGTGATGATTGCAGTGTCCCAGGGTCATTTGATTATTGTGAACTTCTAACAAGCAAAGTCAATGGGGAAGCCACATTCACTTAAGAAATGTGGCCAGAAAAGTTAAAAAATGGGGCAAATTTCTCCCTTAGCAACATAAATTCTGGGCTCAACTTTGGTCGTAAGTTGAGGACTTCCTCTCTTGCACTTCGTTCTTGGCATCAATTAAGCATTAGAAGGGGTTGGAAATCTAGGTAGAAAGCAGTGGCTGTGTACCCTCTTTTTTATTAACCATTTGAAGTCCTAAAGCACAGCTGACAATTACCCCTTCAAAGTAAACCTAACTAATGCATTTTAATATTATGCACTGGATGTTCAAAGAACTTTGTATTGGAAATAAGTGATAACCTGATTTAATTAATCATTAATATATTAATATTTAATTTATCACAGATATCCACCTCCACCTATCTCTGTAGCATTGTCTAAATATATTTAACATGAGTTATTCTTTAATGCAATATGTTTGATTAGCAGCATTTTTAAAAAGTGCTTTCTCATTTTTTATGTTCTACAAGAAATAGAAGCTTTCCTTGAAAGCATCTATTTGGTACAATTTCTCATGATTATCTGGTAAAGTATATAATTTTTTATTTCATTTTTTTCTCTACAGTCAATATTTGCTCCATTCCTTACTTTACAACTTGCATATATGGGACTGTCGAAGTATTTCCCTAAGGTAAGTGTTTTATTAGAAAAATCAGATCCTTAATATTACTACCTTGGAGTGACCAAGGATGAAGGATTCCCTTTAGTGATGACTGATGTGATAAACTTAGACTTGGGAGATTCATGTTCTCAGTCAACTATAGAGTCCTTTGAGTGATCCTAGACTAATTGTTTCCTTATTTGGCACAAGTTGTGGGGGAAGAATAGGTTCTATAACATTTAAAATGAAATAAGATGCTTTAAGATGAAATTTCTGAAAAATTAAACTTTGTTGTTGGTTTTTTTGTTGCAGAGTGAAAAGAAGACAAAAACTACAGTATTAACTGCTGCTCTTTTATTGTCTGGGATCCCTGCAGAAGTAATTAGTCGTTCCATGGACACTTACAGCAAAATGGGAGATGTCTTTACAGACCTTTGTGTTTATTTCTTTACTTTCATTTTCTGTCATGAACTGCTTGTGTTTTTTGGCTCAGAAGTGCCATGATAATAGCTGTGGGATTCAATACATCAGCGGGACTATTTTAGTCTTGAGTTCATCCACATCCCTCTGTAAATATACAAACAGGGTTAAATGTTCATGGTTCTTTATTCTTTCTTAATTCATTACACTTTAATCACAGCTATGAAGGAAAAGCTGCATTCCCAACTATGAGGGTGAATTATTACAGGTTAGATACAGTATCATATGTGTGATCTCAAACATGGAAGACAGAGTAACAATGTTTCAAAAGCAGGCCTTTCCTGCTATTAAGGAAGACATTAATTTTCCCACTATTGCAGATGCCACCTTGTACTTTAATATTTCTCTTTGGACATGAAACCCCAAGATAACTAAGGTATTGTGTGGTTGACTGAATTACATTTTATGGCTTTGTTCCAGAATACTTGTCTACAGAACTTATATTGAAGCTCCTGTTGAGCAAAAGGTGGGAAAGCTATTTTGGCCTGTTCCTCCATTTCATGTGCCCCTCAAAACACTGGGATAAGTACCCTCTGCAAGATCATAAAGGGCACAGACAGTTGAAAGGGGTGCTTCTCTTCCTCCCATCAGAAGCCCGTTCTTAAAAAATGACCTTTTCCACAAATGGAAAGAGATGTACTGTGGATCAATCCAAAATGATTTCTTAAGATCATTCCTCTGTGTTAATATTTGTCACTTCAATATACTAGTTCATACTTTGAGCAAGTGGCATATGCTGATAAAAATGCTGATAAAATTCAGAGGCTTCTGGTTTTAGTAATGTAATTAGACTCAGTCAAATTATTTTTTTGTTGTCTTCATTACAAGTGGTAATGTTCTGTTGATAATATAGAAAGCTGAAGTTAAAAATAGCAGTGCATTGACATTTGTGCACATTCCCATTTGAATTGGAATCTTTCTACTTTTGTTTACATGAATTATGAATATGCTGCATTAAATGGACACTGAAGATTGAAATACTGGTCTTTGGGTTATTAGCCCTTTGAACAGTTAAGTGTCACCAGTTTTATTCATCTCTGACATTTCAGTCAATGTTAGATTTTTTTCTTTGTATGACAAGTTAGGTTAAACTTTGGTATCTTATCCCATATATTTTCTTTTCAAGAATATGTGCATGTGATGTTTAGCATCTTTACCTAAACACCAAGGTACACTGCAGGGCAAGAAGGTGCAAATTAGTATTTTGCCCCAATGTTAGTCAAGTGTTTAATATGCATACTATTTTAGAAAACAGGTAGCTGAAAATATGGTCTGTTTATATAGTAGAATGCTAATTTTAAAATATATAAATTGGTTCTTATAAACCCATCTGAAAACAAAGTATCATCCACTGAAGTTAGCAAATCCTGATGTTCCTTTTTGAAATATTTTGTTTCTTGGCCTTCTCTATAGTCAAGCCTTAACTCAGTTTTAAAATTGGTACCCTTTTATAGTTTTGTAATTATACAAGCAATTTCCCATGTTATGTAGCCAGTCACAATAGCTATAAATCATAAAATGTGGCAGACTTTATTAGTTAATCTTAATTTGCATTAGATTTTATGACTTCATTATGGTCTGAAGGAGATGTGTCATGTATCTGCAATCCTTTCTTATGTTACAGTTCTTCCCTATCTTCATCTTGTCACTGTTATGTATATGTAGCCCATTCTCAGTAGCCGTAAGTGGTTCTATCTTGCAAAGATTTGGAAATTAATCAAAGACAGAAATTATACTAGTGGAACATTTTCACTATTCTGAAAAATGAGATTACTTTTTTCTTAGATTTTAATTTTTGAAGTGTCTGCTGTCAAGTAGCTTGACTTAAACTGGAAATATCTTTTGCTTTGCCTACAATTATTACAGATAATTTAATTTTACAGGCTAAATTAAAACATAACTGGGTTTTTAAAGACTTGATAGAAAGTTAAATTGATTCTTCCTTTGTAATGGACTCATAAGTTTCCTTACATTGTAATTTCAGTGATTGCATTTACTGAACCAAAATTTACCACTGCTCCTTGGAATAGGTGTTTTGGAGACCAAGTCATGGCTGAAATACACAAAGAAATGTGCATATTTTGGCAATGCAGTTTCACTCGGTTTAAAAAACAAATTTGACTCTTTACAATATGAATTATAATGGAAACACCTTGAAAAAAGTCTATTTTTAGGTTTTTGCACATTTAATTTTTCTAAATTCCTATAATTTATATTTTTGATGATGGACCTTCAAATATTGATAAAATAGCATAAATCTAAGATCTTGTTTGATATATTTTTTACTTCAAAAAGCAAATGTAGGTATAGAATTATCAATCCCAACTCTTGATATTTTGATAGTATCTTAGGCATTTTTGTCCAATGACTGCCATGGTGAATATGGACATTTCTGACACTTAAATCTTATCTAAGTTCCAGGTACAGGATAGACTGTTTTTGGATAGTGATTCTAGAAGATGCAAAAAAAAAGCACTCATTCCATAGAAGATAAAACAGATAAAAGTAGGAAAATTAATGACCAACACATTAAGATGGAGAACTGCAGGTTTTTCCCCAAATGCCTGCTCTATAAAAACAAAATTTTGATGTGTTAAAACCCACCACAACAAAACACTATTCACCCATCTATACTTTTTTTAAAAAGTGGGGTGGGGGTAAGGGAGGGCGATAGGAAACATCATAAACAAGATTGAAGTTTTAAAAAATCAATACTGCTTTGAAAAATGTTCAAAATATCTTCAAGTGTGGCCCCTTTCTAAGAAAATTGCTAGTATCACTATAGTCATAGGTTTTTTTGGCATCCTTATTTTTAATATATTTTACATTTTTAAATGCAAATAGAAAATAAATGGGCAGAGAGCCTGGTGGTTTAAAAATAAGTTTCTCCAAGCACAAAGAAGGAGCAGCTCTCCTATGCTGTCTAAAAGTATGTATATGATGAAATAATAAGCTGCTTTGTGTGTTTACTTTTCAATAATTTGACTTCTCTGTAAAAATCTGACATTGTTGTAATTGTTGCATTGATTCTGTTAAATGCATTGAAGCTATGTTACAATTATTTATGCTTTGGCATTACTTGAATATACATTAAAATGTCTGCAACGATCAGGTTTTGTTAACTTTCCTTA